ATCTTGACCTCAGTTGTGTGTACAGACCTCACTGCGTTCGGTCTGTACTCACGACCTCGGTCAAGATTCTCCCATACAGACCTCCAGCTCGGTTAATAATAACTAACGATCGATCTGTTAACCTTCCCTGGCTTTAAGGCGGTCTTCCACTTAAAAAATGCTTTTTTATAAATCAACTTAGTAGGACAGGTTTGGTACCATGTTTAAGGACTTCTTGATTCTAGGGATATACGTGAATACGATACTGCCAGCTGTTCGTTTAGCTGTTTCTCAGTTAAAACTACGGAAAATCATTAATGTGAAACATTACCAAGGAGTGTCAAATGTTGATGATAAAAACGAAGATAAAACAGTAAAGTCGACCTGCGATCCTGAGGACGCGTCTCGTAAATGGACCAGAACAAGAAAGCTCAACACGAAATAGCACTGAAGCTGGGACTTCGTGATTACGAGATACCGAAAAACGCATGATTTGTGAATCATTGCGGAGATTTTTTGGGGGACGGGAGACATCTTTCTGGGCGAGTGAAAATTCCATCGGGCGAGTGGACTCGCCCGAATGGCGAGTGCTGTCAAATTTTAGTTTCCAACACTGAGCAGTCGCATTAGGTATATAAACCAGATGAAAAGAGTATATCACACAGGACGTAATAAGCTGAGGAGTGTCGAGGGAACGCTGCAAATTGTCGCGTAGTTTTTGTCACGAGAACACGTTCCTTTCCCGATTTTATCCATTTTAACAAAAAACAGGAAAAATCTATTCGTGAAGAAATTACAAATATTTCGCTTTTTCTGCTCTCGTGTGAGCGAAGTTTTCTTTCCTTTTCTAGCCCTATTCAACCTCAAAGAACGACATCAACTCCAACAGTTTACTTAATATACTTAGTTATATTTATCTGATCTAAATTCCACTTATGTAGCTTTTTTTTTTTTATGGCCGATATAGTTGTAAGCTAACCTCGTCTTAAAATAAAGAAAACCTCTAAAAACGCATGGTCTTCAACGCACCTTATCTCGAAAACGAGCCCGGTGACTTCCCATGTTGGCTTTTAGGCAAAAGTTGATCCCTACCTATAAGTTTTTCAAAAAATCTATTCGTGGGAACATTTTGGGCGCGTACGTCCTTACGAGGATTCCTGCCCGACTTTTCTCGGTGACAGCCAAAGTTAACTCCTAATTTCTTATCAAGTCTTTCCCTTTAATGATACGATAGAGAGTTTGCGCTCGCGAAGGCCAGACTAGACGATGAAAACATTTTAGACTTGTTTCCTAGTTTACTGAAACTCGTAACGTTTGATCCTCAGGTGAAAGTATGGTGCGTAACGACTAGGCCCTCTTTTCTTTCAGTCTGTTGAGCGGCAGGGGAGAGATCGCACAAGAGGAAAGGGAAAGCAGCGCACGCGAAACTTTCTCCACGCGGGGGGGGGAGGGGTTTGGGCAATTACTAAAAAAAATCTTTAACAGCAAAAGCTGCTGAAACAAAAATCGTGCAAGGGGAGCCACAGGAAAAAAAAATCAAACAAGATCTTTCTACTATCCAAGTCCTGTTTTTGATGTTAAAAAAACTTCTTGCACAAGCTATTGCCCACCCCCAAAAAATTATGCACAACCAATTGGTGAGGGGAAAAAGACTCGTGCCCAGAAAATTGCTCAACCCCAGCTCAAAAATGGTCGTCTTAAAGAAAAACAGAGGAGCTACTCGTAGTATCAACTATATTACTAATAAAATAAATCCTCGCTTGGAATTCCTGGTTGAACATTTGACATTGAGCAGTCATGCCTTGTACTTGGAAATTTTCAGCTAGCGCAAGAACCGCAACGGACTAGCCGTATCTTTACATGATTTTAATTAAAATTAAAAAGACTTAAGATTCCACAGAAAAATTAAAAGTAAAAAAAAAAAATTAAAATCAACAACACGCTTTCTAACATCACGATTCTAGTTCTTCTTTAATCTCTATGGATAAGGAAGGTCTGTTCTTGAAATTAAAGCCGTGCCGCTCTCTGCTCTGTAGTTTGGACCGCAAGTCTAGCGCAGGTTGTTTTTTGACCTGTTCCTCTCTTTTCGTACTCTCTTTTCTATTGATTCGTCCTTTCCATCTGTCTCGCTTCTCTCTGCTGTCGTCATCATCATCACTGTCGCTCTCGTCGTCTTCCAAAGAATCGGCGTACATACGCATGCGCAGATTCGAGGTATCGCTCCTTTCCATCGTGCCCTCGTTAGTGACGACGATTTTGAGCGGAGGTTCGTCGATCTCCATTTTTTCTTCCTTGTCGGTTTCGATCTTGTCCAGGAAAAGCACATCTGGTCCACCTGTGTACATGTATTTGACTCGCTCCTGCTCCTTCAAAATTTTCCTCTTCCTATAAGAAATACAAGTTGATTTGTATGGGTAATCAA